AGTCAGGAGAGGGGCAGTTACTGTGGTACACTTCACTCCATGGCATACACGCACCTTTCCTGTGCTTGCCTAACGCACAACTCTGCTGTAGTGGGCAGTGGCTTCATGGCAAGAGTTCCAGAAGGGACCTCAGCGTGTGCTCCACTCATCAACCAGCAAGTGCTGTGGCCTAGAAGCCTGTATTTTGCAGTTAAAGAATGGGTGTAGACCCCCACAGCCCTCAACCTTTGGCATTTCCTCCCATAGCAACGGCAGAGGACATGCCTGTTGGTCATTACAGAACCACAGAATGGCCAGGGTTGGAAGGGACCTCAAGGATCATGAAGCTCCAACCCCCCCACCACACACAGGGCCACCAACCTTCCCATTTAATACCAGACCAGGCTGCCCAGGGCCCCATCCAACCTGGCCTTGAACACCTCCAGGGACGGGGCATCCACAACCTCTCTGGGCAGCCTGTTCCAGCACCTCACCACTCTCAAAGAATTTCCCCCTGACACCTAAGTCTTCCTTCCCTCAACTTAAAACCATTTCCCCTTGTCCTGCTTCATACTTCATGACTTCATATATCAAATATGATGCCTACGCTCCAGGATATGGCTCAGTTACTTTAAGTTACACTGCAGTAGTACTACTAATAAAATGCTCATGTTGAGCTTAGGTTGTTCATTTGGTCTACCCTAGGCAAACAGAAAGAAGGCTTGAAGGCCTTTGCATAGGAGAAAAGAGAGTCCGAGTTGAATTGGAAAGCCATGTATCCACCTGCCAAGTTGCAATTTTGCTCAGGTTTGCTTGGTTTTCATTTTCATTTCACACTGTGATAGGAATTTCAGGAGGCAACTGGCTCCCTGTACCTTGTCCTTAAGGGCAGAAGAGCCTGGAAGTGATTCAGAGAGCTTAAACCTTGGTCATGTCATAACCTCTTCACATTAGTGTGCATGTATAAAAAGCAAAGCAAAACCAAACAAAATCCCAAAGCAAAACCCAGTCTCACAAGGCATGAGAACTTAGAGAGAAATACCACTAGAGGGAGCTGGCTGTACGTAACTTCATTCAGGCTTATGAACTGCAGGGTTAAGCAGGGCAATAACTGTCCTAGTACTTCGGTTCCACTGCAGGTATTTATTTGGCCAGAGCAGACCTAATGGACAGCCTCAGCCTGTGCACATATACCTCGGGTGTATCCATGCAAGCTGCCAGATCTGCCCAGAACCAGAGGAAAGCACTGAGTGCTAACCTCACAAATGTCACTTTGACGTGCTTGTGCTGCTCTCCAATCCAAACGTGTGTTCGCAGAGCCACCCCAAGCTGGAGGTGAGCATGTGCTCATCCTGGGGAAGCACTGACCACATGCAACAGCATTTCTTCTTTCTGCAGAACACAACAGCGCCCATCATTTTCTTCATGCTACTCTCACACCACCAAATGCCCACCTCTCTTCCTACATTGCCGTTAACTCCCTTTACAAGTAATCTCTGTGAAGGACACACCAAGTGCCAACTCCACTGCTGCCAAGCTAGAAATACAGAGAAAGTATGGTCATCTACCCTGGAGCCTGGCAGAGAGGTTGTGAATCTGATTCAGAAATCCTGACTGCATTTGAAACTCTTTCAGTCCAGATATCTTCTATTAATTAGTCCTGGGAAGCTTTACATCTGTTTGTAAAATAATTCAAAAAACTATTGAAGACATCCCTGGAACATTTCAACATCAGCAAATGTCTTTGGAAGGAGTAGGACTACCGTGCCCTAAAAGCATAGCAACTGGGACAGGGGCTCACACAAACCACCTCCTCAAGCCAGCTTGGCACAGCCCAGCTCTATCTGTTCTCAGCAAGCCAGCTTCAAGCCCAGAGCACAGGAAGCTATGTGTGTCTGTGTTTATCTACAACCAAAGCTGCAGAAGGACCTACGGTACTCCTCAGTGTTACAGCTCACCTTCCTCACCAGGAGCAGCCAGGAATATGTGAGACAAAGCCAAAGGCTGCTGGGAAGTTTACTGGACAGTCCTGTAATCATTGCTAATTCCTGGTTTTGGTGACATTTTGATATTATCTTGAATTTCAGCTATTCGTTAGCATGCACAGATTCTCCAGGTTACATCAGTTCCAGACAACTTTATATGAAGATAAAATTCTTTCTTCCTCCACTGCAAAGTAGCTGGTTTCTTTCAGTTCCTCTCACTATTATGAGGTAGCTTAGCTCACCTGCTCAATGGTAGGCATTGCAGAATCACAGAATCACAGAATCACAGAATCACCCGGGTTGGAAGGGACCTCAAGGATCATGTAGTTCCAACCCCCCTGCCTAGCAGGGCCACCAAACGTACACATTCAGATCAGGTTGCCCAGGACCCCGTCCAACCTGGCCTTGAACACGTCCAAGGACGGGGCATCCACAACCTCCCTGGGCAGCCCATTCCAGGGCCTAACCACTCTCCTTGTAAAGAACTTCCTCCTAACATCCAACCTAAATCTTTCCTCCTTCAACTTGGATCCATTTCCGCTAGTCCTGCTGTTGTCAGCCCTTCTGAAGAGTTTACTCCCCTCCTGGGTGTAGGTTCCCTTCAGGTATTGATAGGCTGCAATGAGGTCACCCTGCAGCCTTCTCTTCTCCAGGCTGAACAAGCCCAACTCCCTCAGCCTGTCCTCATAGGGGAGGTGCTCCAGCCCCCGATCATCTTAGTCGCCCTCCTCTGGACCCTTTCCAAAATCTCCATGTCTTTCTTGTACTGAGGGCTCCACACCTGGACACAGTACTCCAGATGGGGCCTCACAAGAGCCGAGTAGAGAGGGACAATCACCTCCCTGTTCCTGCTGACCACCCCTCTCCTGATGGAGCCCAGGATCCCATTTGCCTTTCGAGCTGCCAGAGCGCACTGCTGCCTCATGTTCAGTCTCTCGTCCATCAGGACCCCCAGGTCCTTCTCTGCTGAGCTGCTCTCAAGGACCACTCCTCCCAGCCTGTACGGGTGCCTGGGGTTCTTCCGGCCCAAATGCAAAACCTTGCACTTTGCCGTGTTGAACCTCATCAGGTTCACCCGAGCCCAGCCCTCCAGCCTGTGGAGGTCCCTCTGAATGGCATCCCTTCCTTCCACCGTATGAACCGCACCACTCAGCTTGGTGTCGTCAGCAGACTTGCTGAGGGTGCACTCAGTTCCCTCATCGATGTCATTAATAAAGATGTTAAAGAGCACCGGTCCCAAGACAGACCCTTGGTGGACACCACTTGTTACCGGCCTCCACCTGGACATAGAGCCATTGACCACCACCCTCTGTCTGCGGCCTTTGCAACCAAATTGCAGATGCTAAATCATTTCCTACTCTGCATGTGAAGGCTTAGAATTTAGCAACTGGCAGTCTTCAAGGAAGTGACATTTCCCTGGTTTTTGTCTTTGAATAACGGTTGTTGTCTTTTGCATAGCAGCCTTCAGATCTCTTCGCTGTAGTGCCATGAGTTCTGGTAAACCTCTGAATTCCCCCTTTCAGTTCTCTTTCTGAACTGTTCATTTCTGCTTTTGCATTTACGTCGATCCAATTTCTTTCCTGCCACCAGCCCCATTCCTGGCAGCCCACAGCTGGGTAGTCGCACTGAACACACATCCAGCTAAACACACTGCCTCCATTAAAGTCTTAGCACAGATAAAGCAGTTTGAGTTTTTTACTACAACTAGTACAGTAAGTAAGGAAAATGTTGCAAAGTTATTTTCGTGCACAGATATACAGAGGCTGGAGCACCTACCTGGAGGTGAAAAGCATTCCTTATGCTGAGGCAGCTTCGACTCCCTGTGATCGTATATCAGCAGAGTGCACCGGACAGTCAGCAGGAGTAATGTGATGAGGGGTGGAAAGCAGAGGAAGTGATGGGGAAGGATAGGGGGCTGCTTTTCTTCCTGTGTACTGATGCTACCTACCTTTCATCAGACATCCAGGACTGACGGGACAGAGAAATCTGCAGAAGTTGCCCTTGTGGCCCAGTGCTGATGACATTGTCATAGGAGAATGGGCTCTGCTCTTGATGCTGCTGATACATTTTATACAACAATTATTCTGGGACAAATTCTGCCATCTAGTCACTGGAGCAGAGATGGTGGTCCATCCATGGGACTGCATGCATACAAAGAATGTCATCAGTTTTTCATCTCTCCCTTAACTTTTCCTTCTTCTTCCCTTTGGACTGTCTCTGGATCATAGTTGCCTTTATAATGGATTTTGATCATTTAATTAAAGATGCAAAAGATCTGTTACATGTGATAGTTCAGTAGCTGTACTGACTGATAATAAAATCAGATAATTAGGTTTTATTCTTTCCTAAAATGGCAGATGAGTTTCAATGTCTTTGTATATTTTAACACTTTCACTGACACAAGGTGGGAAACAACACAAAGGATTGACTATGCTGTACTAAAAGCATGAAATCTGAAGAGAAAGGAGCCTCTGATCCCAGATCTGTTGTAGGCTGTCTTCCTCATTAAGTCATTCTGATGAGGGTTTTGTTTATTTTAATATTAGTATCATTATGTTTAGAAAAGCATCAGACATCTCAGCTTTGGGGACTGAAATTTGTTAAAAAAAATTAAGAGTTTTTGCTATAGTAGAAGAAGTGCTTTATAAATAAAAAAAATATTTACAGGACCTTCCATGACTTGCAAAAATATTGCAGATTTGACAAATAACTGAGGAATGTAATATGTACCTCAGGAATAAAGTTATCCATTCTTAAAGCACTGACAAGAACAGTGATGTAAAATGGCTTATTGCTAGTTGTGGGGAAGAATCTGATACCTCGTCAGGTGTCACTGGAGGAAACACAGGGTCAGCATCTAACTTCATTGACTTTACATAGAGCTGAGTCTACATTTCATTTCAGTACAGCTACATATTCATACGAAGCAGACCGTTCAGAGCTGAAAGCACTTTAAGAAAGATGGAGTTGCAGCAAGTGATCCCGTCACACCAGCAGAGTCCCAGGCTGTCCACTTGAATGACACAACACAAGATCTCATATTTCTGAACCATTTTATCCCATTCACAGTTGCTCTGCAATCCAGATACCTTTTCACGAAGTACTGGAGTCAAGCTTCAGGCTGAGACACAAAGTTTCTATGGCACGATGGTGAGCAGGCATAGAAGTAAAAAGGAAGCTTTCCAAATTTAAATACATTTCTATACATTTGGATGAGCTGAAGTCCTTTGCCATATCAAGGTCCGCTGCAGCAGTCACAGACACTAAATCTAAAATGGTAAGAAATTGGATCAAAAACTTTGCATCATCCTCCTAAGGTTACATACCCACCCCCAGCTGTTCAACTTCCTCACTCAAAAGCACAAATTAAAGAAATCAGCTGGCCTCAGAATGACTGTGGTTCATCACTGAAGAAGGTGCTTAAACTTCCTCAGTTCCACTTCAGCAGAGGCCCGCTCTATTCCAAAAAAGTAATTACTCTAGCCTTAATGCACAGTCTGCATGGCTCCCATGGGGAAGGAGGAAACAGGCACATCAAAAATAGAAGGATGTGCTGTGCAGTTGGGGTGGAGTGGAGAGGCAGGGAAGAAAATGATTCTGAAATTCCCAGAAATGGAGCTGACATCATTTTCATCTCAGCTGTAAGCTTCAGGTCAATCTCCCTTCCCAACAGACCGGCTCAATGTAGGGCCAGAACATGAAGCTGCAACACAAGTTTTGTCTGGAGGACAAGTGTCTGTGTAAAATCCTAGGAACATTAAATAGAACAATGTATTTGCATTCAGCATCTGACTAATCTTAACTGTATTTTCACATTCACTCAGATACACTCAAAATGTGAACTGAGCATACCTACATGGAACTATAGCTATTGCTATTACTGCAGTATGTAATAGTATATCACTGATCAACACTAATTTCATGTGAAGGAATGGATAAAGTATGGACTTCCACACTCCTAACACTTGCATTCTGACTGGGGCCAACTAACTATTTTTTGCATACAGTGCTCCTCTGTTGAGCAAGGGAACAAGATGTAATTCTGTATTACTTACTCATCCAAAATCTTTTTAATACCTTCTGTAATGTTGTATCTTTCCTTCAGATTATTTGTGGAGAAGCAGAGGGCAGCCAGATGAATCAGCTTCTGCGGTTGGTTCTGAATCTCTTCATTCCGTAACAAAGGATGTAAGAAATTATTTTCTATTCTGAGGAATTTTAGTGGAAGATTCAAAACCCCGGATGACAAAGCAGAGAGCTGGTTCCCTTAGTGTTCAGATTCCCTTCAGTGTTCAGATACTCAAGCTTTCTGTAATTTTAAGGACATCAGGAATTTACAGGTTGTTCACAGCATATCCTAACGTGACAGTGATTTGTATAATTGCCTAACTCTCATCATATTAACTACTGAGCCACTTATGCACAAAATGCTACGTGTTTTTTTGCAGCACACTTTATGTACTGGATAGAATTGTACATATAATATTTTTCTAAATATAATTTAAATACTGAGTTATCTTGAAAGACAAGTCTGGTATATCTGAATACATTAGACATGCACAGATACCATCAACATTATGGACATACATGAATAATTTGCTTTTCTACTGTTTCTACTAGGTGAGTGAGCTTGGTTTTAATTCTTGCTTAATCAACACTTGAAACAGCACTGCTTGAAAGCAACCACACCTGTGCTGGAAGTGTATCTTCTCTTTCCTTATCATAAGAATCAAGTGCATGTGCATGCATGTAGTCCAAATGAGAGAACAAGCATGTTTTGCATGTGAATATTTGACTTACAGCTACCATCAAGTGACACAGTTATACAGCTGTCATTTACTGTTTCAGTTTAAATGAGCTTTTCACAGAGGATAGGAGAAGGGAGAGAGAGGGCACACTGAATCTTCCTCACGTGTTCACTTACACAATTAACATCCAAATATAGTCCATATATTATGCTGTAGAAATCTAATTTCAGTTTATGCTGCTTATATACCTGAGGTTCTTGATGCCATTAGGAATATAGCTAATATAATTATGGGCAATGTCCAGGTACCAGAGATCTTCTAATAAAAACAAGCTATAAGGAAAGAAAACAGAACTAAGAATTGGAAACCTAAACAGAGAAATGCAAAAATCAGAATAACAAATGCTGAATGAAACCTTTGGAGTTCATCCAGTCCTGCCCTGAAGCTCAGGCCATTCCTTACTGCTTCACATTGTGTAGGCCTCTATTTTTCATATCTGCTATGATGTTTTAGTCTCTTTTAGGTATATCCAAAACTATGGTTCAGCTTTTACATGAGCTGAAATGACCTCTAGAGGTATTCTCTCCACTCACTGTGGATGTTGAGATGGATGCCTAAATGCCTAAATAAATAAATACCTAAATAAATACCTAAATAAATACCTAAAATACCTAAAGCTAAGGCGGTTGAAGCTGGGTCTTAGCATTCCAAAATTCTCTAGAAGTGGGATTTTACTTCCATACCACAGCATCTCAACAGAACAGTCATATTTTAATGCACTAAGTTTTGAATTTCACCTATTTTTACTGCAACACAAAGACAGACAGTAGAGCCAAGAATGGAAGCCACAAGGTCATTCTTCCCCCAGATATTTTCAGCTAAAATGTCAGTTTACTGAAAATGAGCTGCAGCAAACTGGTGTACCTGTATATTCTTAGTGAAGATTCAGTAAGGCAAGCAATTACAATTAACTATTCCAATACTTCTATTTTCTTCACCACGATAAAGTCTTTTTGATTGGCTTAGTGATATGACTAAAATGAAAATTGGTGACAGATTATAACGTAGTTCAAGACAGAAATCCACAAACATCTCAATGAAAACAAACAAACAAACAAAAAAATAACTTACCCAGATGGAAGTTCTGATAACAAATTGAAGGAAATCGTAAATTTCTACAGTGACTTCAATCTGTGAATGTCACCTGGAATTTTTCTGATGGGGTCGCTCCGGAGCACAAGGACTTGTAAGGATTTAATATGAAACACCTGAGAAGGGAAGAGGACAGGGAATGATAAAAACCAGCATCTGTTCATCATACAGCATGTCACTGTTCTGTTGCAAGCTTTCTGCATTTCTATTAATAGCAAACTATGCTGGAAGTATGGGGAAATGAATATAATAAGATTTGCTAGCATGACTACTGCACAGATAGATGGATAGTATTACTGCAGATACCACATGAGGCACAATTGCCAATCACTTACTGTATTGATTACAACACTGTAATTGAGGATTGCAAGCAGAGTCATAAGTGCTGCTGGTTTTTAAAACTGTTCAGCATTTCTGATGATATGCCTTGTTTTTGTTTCTGATCTTGCATTTTTTGAGGTGAAATTTGCAATTTCTATTATGCCTGCTTCAAAAATGCTTCTGCTAAAGACACATGAGTGGAAGTGGGGAAAAAATCTATTTTGTTTGGTCAGCATTTACAAAGAAACAACCTGATGAATACTCTTCAACTTGATGAATTTGTTTCTCTGAAAGAGTGGTCAGGCACTGGAATGGGCTGCCCAGGCAGCTGATGCAGTCACTGTCCATGAAAGGGTTCAAGAAACGTCTAGATGTTGTGCTGAGAGACGTGGTTGAGTGGGCAATAGTAGTGGTAGGGGGAAGGTTGGACTAGATGTTCTTGGAGGTTTTTCCAACCTTGGTGATTCTATGATTCTATGATTCCCAGTTCTGAAAGGGCTACTGCAGTGTTTTCCAAATCATGGATCAAAATCACAAAAAAGAGCTGTGAAAGTTTTTGAAAGAAACTGTTAACTACTAGGATCATTATTATTTTAGTTATTCATCTTGCTTAAGCTCTTGTATGCTTGGCTGCATACAGATGGTAAGCCAGAAAAGGCAGGGAGGATCACATTTTGGAAAAGCTTGAAAAATACTGTTTTACCTCCTATAGCTCAGGGGCCCTGCGCTGTTGAGGATGACATGAGAAAGTCTAAACTAGCACTACTCTGACTGGGAATTTGGACTGGAGAACCTCCAGAACCATCCTTGTCTGTATCTGCAATGTTAAGCTGGCCAAGCACAGCCTTTGTCAAGCCAAACACAGCTTGAATGGAGGTGACCATGTAACTGCGTGGCTACCAGTGCCTCAGCTACAGTAACAGTGTGCATGCCATCCTGTGCAGTGCTTGGAAAAACAAGAAGCAGGGAAACTGGGGGTTGGACTTAATGATCTCCAGAGGTTCCTTCCAACCCCTACAATTCTGTGATTCTGTGAAATGTCCACAGTCTTCTAACACGCAAACATCTGACTGCATGGTCAGAAATGGATCAAATCGCAAGTGCCTGGAAAAATAATACAATCTGTATGTGTTCACTTTTCTAAACTTTAGTAGCTACTTACTCCTAGTGATTTGGTCCACACCAAGCATGCTCTAATTTGCTTTTTCACAGTAAATGCAGATTTTAAGCTGCCTTAGACCCTGTCTGAATATCTTAAGTGTGTTGGGAAAACTGGAGACATTTGGAACTATTGCTGCAGGCTGCTGGAGCAAGAAAATATAAAAGGGACAGGAGGACCTGTGGGAGCAGACAGAAGCCTGGGAGAACAGTTGCAAAGACTTCTGTGATTGTTCCCATAATTCCTACTGAACCCCAAGTAACCAAAGCATATTTTAACATTTAACTATTATTTTTTTTCATTTGTTTTAAGCAGCTCTGCTATGACACTTGCATTTAAACAACAGCTTGTTGAAAGCTAATTTTTATATCCAAACAGTAGAATTTCAGAGTTAGATTACTTTTAGTAAATCATGGAAAATAAGCAGTGCATACTTCCATAGGAAAGAAGAGTAAATTATTGAATGACAAGTTAAGGCAGACCAAAGTATCCATCAATGGGGTCAGGTCTGGAAGGTGAAACAAAAAATAGGCCTAAAAGAAATATAAAAAAATGGGACAGCTGAGTAAGGAAATCTCTCAGCGTTTTCACTTAAATGCAGTAAGTAACATCCTTAAGAACAGTTCTCTGGGACTCACAGATGTGTCATGAATGTTAGAAACACCAATATTTGATTCTCCTTTGGATGGAGTCAGCTTAAGCGGCATCACTGACATGCCTGAAGACCATGTCAGCAAACCCAAAGCCCAGCCCACCTTGCCTCTTGCCACAAAGTCCTCCACTCTCATTCCCGCTCATTTCCATCACGTCCAAATAACCTGTTCTCTTTTTTCAAGCGTGGACATGGTCCAGAATGCAACTTTCTATTCAGTTGATCAAAATATCCAAAGCAATCCCTTGCCACAGGTCATGTGGTACTGAGTGGCACATGCACTGCCCCACTGGCCTGCTTGAGAACAGACTGCACTTACACAGCATAGCTTTTGGCTATGGAACTCCCTTCTGCTTTTGTGTATAATTATTATTCTGCAAGGTTTGTTTTCATTTTCAGACTGCAGTCTGAAATAGCAGGCTGCCATACTGATGTCCTTATAGAGCATACAACAGTATACAGGAAGAAAAGCCCTAAAGCATTCAACGAATATGGAAAAGAAAGATAAAGCAGGTGCTGCTCTCACATCTACAATAAAGTTTTGTTGTGGAGGGACTTGTTTGTGCACACCAAAAAAAGTTGCAGAACAGTGAATGCTTTTTCAATGTAGATAGATCAGAGAAGGAATGTGCAATAAAGCACAGAGAGAGTGCTGTGATATTGACACACAGTATCTACACCTGTAATCACTAAGAGCACCAAGGTCCTCTCTTATTCTGGCTGCTTTCCTAATTGTTCCAGGAAATAAGTGGCCCACTTCTGTAGCTGCCTGAAGCTCTGTGATTTTTGGCTTACTTTTTCTTTTTTTTTCACCTACTTTCTAATGTTGTTCAAACTGTGTTAGACTTCCCTTTGTGACCTTCCTAAAGTATACCTGATTTATCAGCTCAACCCATCCAGTTTAGTTCTGGAATATACTCACCCTCTCAAGTGGATCCAAAACTCCCAAAACATGCAATCCAAACAGCTTCAGATTCAGGCAATGAAGCACTTTTTCATTTTATTGCTCCCTTATTGAACTCTTACTTTCAGTTCTAACATGGGAAGTTTTATTCTAAGCTCTGCTAGGAGAGTGCTGCTTCTGCATTATTATGACCCCTCCGGAATGTATGTGGTTATTGTTATATATCCAACCTCAACTTCATAAATGCTGAGATAATATTTAATTAATGTCACATACAATTTCAAATATGCCTTAAGAGATATGTGAATCTAGCCTCTTGTTCCTTGTAGGCCAGAATTACTTATTTTCGTGGCAGATAGATACACAGTATACA